GTACAGCAGACGCTGCATCTTTCCGTCTTTGGTGGTATAGAGTCTGGATGGCGGCGTAGTTGGCTCGGCGGATGTGCTTTCGGCTGACCGGGATCCGATGGGCTAACTGGCGGCGACGTCGGGAAACAGTTTTCCAGGTGTGTGGAAATGTCCTGGAGGCGTGGAGGTTCAGAAGCGACAGGACTTGCTCCGGTGTCATGATGCCAGACTGCAACCCTCGGGGAAATGCCAGAAGGTCAACACTAGCGAGCGAACGGTCAGCATGGGATTCCAAGAGTGACACGGTGCAATCCACGGTTTGTTTAAACCAGACGCTGTAGTCATCGGCTTCTGATGAGTAGGCCGTCGTCTGACTGATAGTTTGCTCAGGTTCACCAGATGATGTTTCGTCCTGTTGTGCTTGCCAGTTAAGCACCCGTAACCTGGTTTTGATGCTGATAGCCGATCGGCCAGGAAAATACTGCTCCAATCTCGTGAACAGCTCGGTTTGCGTGCCGCAAGATGGATATAAATTGTTAGCCAGGCGTAAGAGCGATTGTGACTCTTGCTGGGACCAGCGGGTACCGGAATACTTCACTCGGCCAAGCTTATCTGCATTATGCTGGGTGGGGTGTGCGTGCCGGCGGTGTTGACTCAGGCCAATCTTCGTCGGAAAAAGGCGGGAACAATCAGCGCAGGCCAATTGGGCGACTGTGTTCGTACCAACACTTTCATTGTCGTGAACTCGATGATGGGCTACAAAGCCAGCTTTCGATTTGCAGCATTTGCCACATTCCTCACACGTGAACCCAACGAGTCTCTCCTGTGTACTGGTTGGAACTGGTGCGGAGGCGCCAGATGATTCGTGGTATGCATTGTCGAAAGTAACAAGCACATTGAAACCAAACGGGGTGGCTGGCCCTGTCTGGAGTTGCTGAACTCTTAGCTCACCCAGACAGACGTCCAGGCTCCCGGTCGGCTCGCCGACCCGTTGCCATCAAAACAATCACTTATTCCCGTGCGCAAAGATTAAGAAAGAGAAGTGAATCTAGAGAGCGTGAAATCGTGGCACGCGGAAGCATAAGCAACGAGAACCGTGGTGCTGCTTAAAGGAATTCATCAACAGCCATAACGAAATTAACACTGTCTACGCACTGCTAGTGAGCGAGAAACCCTCAAGTCAGTGGTAATATCAAGACAGCTGCGGTTGTCAGGACAAAATGGTTGTTGAGGCAAAGAGACAAAGGTCTCAGTGAGGCAAATCGGAATTTGAAGATAACTTCTGCCAATAGTACACCAGCAAAGGGGATGGAATTAGTAACTGCTCTGCCGTTATGCGTTACAGAATGATTGATACTGTGGAGCTTCCTCATCTTCTACTGTTTAATACTGTTTAATAATAATAACAGACATTATTGTTACTTTTGTCGTTGTTGTCAGAATCGATGCCTTCTATTCAGGGTACTTTACAAGTGCAGGAAATTTGCTGCGCAAGTGCAGATGTTTATTTCCGGTTAAAGTTAATAGGGAAACTGTAATTCTGGGTAGGCATCAAGCACAAGATTCAGTTGTTTCCGCTGAAGCAAGACATCCGCGCGTGTTTTTTAGGGGAAAAACCTCAGGTACATCAGAGTACGCAGGTTACAAAAATGTTTTCAGTCAGATGAAGTTTTACACTGAAACGTCGAACCAACACAACTCGTCAGAAATTAATCGCCTGGTCTAGTGAAACAGCAAGGCGTCGACAGTGGTGTGCATATCACCCCATATTCTGGGCAAACATGATGAATGCACACTTACTGGTTGGTTTCGAGGACATTTACAACACTGTAAGGCATGTGGTCTACCAAAAATTGATTTAAAGTCTGCTAGCTAGTGTGCACTATCAGATAATGCCCCGTCAGCTACCAAACACCTCAGGATATCTTACAATATGCCGGAAAAACAAGGCCGCTAGTAGCGCTAAATTCATCTTATCATCAGTAATAAACCACAGGTTTTGGATTGCCACAAAATCGAACTGCTTTGAAGGTAGGCAGGTTTTATTGTTTTCGGTTGACTGCACAATTAAAGTAAGCGGCAGTCCATACATGTATCTTGAAACTTTACACTTAAGGGATGTCGTCCAAACAATCCGCCTTATTGGGTCTTGACAGTTTTAATGTAGATTCAAGCAATCTATTATTTTTAGGCGTCATATGGTGATTCCTAAAGTGCAAAACAAACACGATTCCACGTGACAGCAGTTATAACAACGAATCAGGAATTTGCACCAGGAATATGAGTGACCTTGAGCGCCAAGCGGCAGATTAAGGTCATTTTTACTGAAGCATTTATATGAGCTTGCTAGGCGGTAGTCTTTTGTCAGAGTATAACGATGAATTGATTTTGATTAATTTTAGATGCACATTTTCAATGATCTTGTTGCTCATATGGAAAATCTGTAAGTTTGAGAATTGCTTTTCTCTGTACTTCTTGAAGGATTTTGTTTCGAACTGTTTCCTATTGAATGGGTATATTTTCAAGTGTTACTGACAAAAACAGAGAAATTTCCAGTGTTATAATTCATCCTTCTTCTTTTGTCGGTTTTCCACGGTTGGCACACTCATACATTCGTTGCGGACCAAATTTCATCTACCAATCAGTTGGGACTCAGTTGTGGTCCTCGTTAAAATGAACCAAGCTTAGTTGCAACGGGTCGCGATTCTTAAAATCTATTTCCTTTGTTTACTATAGGAAATTTAATATGCACCGGGTATCTCATCTCTTCTAGTGGTGGTTGTGCACAGCCACTAACCCACCGCACTGCTACGCTACGCTCCACAATAACGCACTGATGATGTCACCTCGATTGGTGATGAAACGTTTGCAATCAAATTGCCCAGCTCAGCGAACAAGCCAACGGACACCATAGAACCAAACCTTCCGGCCTAGATTTTCACCTTCAGGTACACCCTGATGGTTACCACCATCAGTAATCATGTAGTAGCAAAAAATATTGTCTGTTGACCACGTGATATTTCATCTGGACATCGGGCTTCGCAAAGCGCTTTTAAAACGCTTTTTATTAGGTAAGGAGACATTGGCATAGTGCGCTTGGTCGGATTTCCTCTCAGAATCCACTTCTAAGTTATACCCCATATGTCTAATATGATTAGCACAGGAAGCTTTATTTGTGTGTAATTTGTGTAACTGGATTACAATTCACGTGTCGCTGCGTTGCAGCCTGGTTCACTTGCATTCAATTTCTTCGTTGGATGTCATCATTTCAGTAATTCTGTTTCTTTGGGTCGAGTGGACCTTTTTGCGCTTTCGGTTTCTGATCATTAGACCCACTGACTGGAAAGTCACGCGTACAACGTAAATCTTAGGCACACGAAAAATTTCCGTTTCCACTTGGGAATAGGAACCAAGCATACTGCACAGTACTCATATTTCTGAGCCGCTTTTCAGCCTGAGGACTGCTGCTGACTGAATAGAGAGCATATTATTCTGAGAGTTGACCCATAACCAAACACGCTGCATCTGTGTCCAGTCAATTCGTTTTCTAATTAAGTGTGTCCACGTGCATCGAATTCGATTTTAGTAGATTGCTGCCTCAGTATTACTTGAAGGCCCACCCTGAAATAATAGTCAGCTTACTCATTACTGGTACTGATTGTGCTATGAAATCTATCAAAGAAGGCAAAAACATCTGTTGAATCTATGGCTTAGAGGAAGCGACGAGTCTGTTACTTATAACAAACTTCAGCCTAAGTATTTTCTATGAGCGTTTGTTATAAGTTGTGAGCCGAAAAGTAGAAAGCAGATACTTTACTGAGAAAAGCCTGTTGTGTTGATGGGAATTTACATAAGCCTCCACTTGTCTTTTCGCAATAAATATCCTCCCCCTTCGCTGAGTTTCAGGAGGATTTAGAAATGCTTATACCCAGATTCATAGCTGCTTAACTAGTAGAAATTGAGACTTCGTACTTCGCTTTAATCTCAAGTTTGTTTGTTGGAACAACAAAACAGTTCTGCTTAACACACCAGGTTGCTTCCTCTGTTACACGTCTCCGCGGTGAATTATATGGGCAGATATTCACTTTGTTTCGCTGGTCATTATGCATCATACTGTCATGTCAGCTGGGGTGCTTGTAGCACAACTCTTATTGATGGACCAGTGGTCAGGAAGTCGTTGTAGGCGCACATCACCCAGACAGCTCGACAGAAATAAAGAGATACCAAGATGGGAGAAACCGGTCTTGGGCAGTCGATGAATGCTCAGCAACCGTATTAGTAGTGTATTACGCCCATATAAAGTAATACCTCCTTTTTTAAAATCCGGCCCATCCCCAATGTAACAAACAGTGACACTCCTTAAAGGTCAATTCTCATTTAGAAGCAACCAAATAATTCCCATGCATCTCAGTTGAAATAATTAGCCGAAATCGTGCGCAACGAAAATATCAGGCTTTCTGCCTGGCGATTATTAGATGATCACAACTTGTAAAACCCAATGTATGTATACATATATATGTACATGTATTTATTGTAATCTTGGCGTTTTGAGGACATCTCCATGGACCGTTCATATCACCGTCTCATTTCAGTTGTAAATCTAGTTCCATGAGCATGGATATTTTCAAATCTGCGCTCTGAATGGGCCACTACACCCTACGCGTTCGCGACCCGGATGAAGTCAGCAAACCGAGTTGGAAAAATAAGCGACTTGAGAGGATGCCGGCTCTAAAGTATGTAAGAGTGTGAAAGCTGCTGTGTCAATCAATCATCATGTTCTCCAAAAAATGAAAAACAGTGGAAATACCACTCAAGATATGGTGTTAAAGAATTAAAGTCCAACTGTTGGCTCAGAAGGGTACAGACCTGAACAGTAGATGCCAACGTTCAAAAAAATATCATCCGGTGAAAGCATATTGATGAATCTGATTGGATGGTTTCATGAAAACTAAACTGCACTCTGAAATTGCGCTGATAATTCAGCAAGTGTTATCAGAACTCTATATACATGAACAACACAAACCCTTGTTACCAATGGTAACACTTTCATCCTTAAAACTGTGAGACATCTAGTGTGAACAGGTGGTAATTTTTTCAGAGCAAATCCAGATGCATGAGGCTTAAAGTGCACTCAGTTTTCAACTATTCATTAGAAGCTATTGGTAAGACATGGTGAAAGAGGCTAATGCGCGTATAAATGAAATGATTGGATCGATGGTGGCGCATAAATGCTACCGTCTGGCAAAGAATACTCTTGAATTATATGACAACCAATCCGGCACATAGTTAAAATTCATGAAACAAAAATCAGCCTGTCTGCCTTTCGACATACGGTAACTTAAAAGCCATGATCTTTTTAGCAATGCACAGACAACACGAGTAAGCAGTTGACGATTTCACAGAAGGACAGAACAATAAAGGAATTTAAAATGGACAAAGATGCTTTCTACGAGGCATATAAAAAAGAGAAGAACCGTCCACCACCAGATATCACTCCTGCAGCGTTCCAACAGATTGCAGCAATGGGTGATCAGAGAGCAAAACATGGATCAGTGAGTGCCTAATAGACAAGTGATATCCTTCTACAAAATACTTATCATTTCGCCGTTACTCTCAACAGTTCTATATCTCATGTTTGAGTGTTTACGGTAGTTCTTATATCGCACTATATTCTCATAAAAACAAATGCTCACATGGTTGCTGAAGCTTTTTTGAAGCCTGTGTAACCTGGGTTCAAGTAACACAAGGTTGGAGAAAATTCAGGGACTACACCTACCTGATGAACATGAAGAGGGACGAAACCGTTCATATGATGTCAAAGAGTTTCCAGCAAACTTGTGAGTAGCTTTTAGCATAAACATTACAGGGTTTCCCGGTGCCCTAAATCTTAGAAGAAATAATTTCGTCAAATCTTCATCACACGTACTTACAGATCTCAGGTTTTCATCCATGGTATAGACACTAGTAGGTACGTGAAATCTGAATATAGGTCAGTCGGGCTCACAGATGCTTTAAAAGTGCCTTCAACGCTCAAACATCCACATTCAGTTTGACTAAAGTGATTTCAAAGGCTTTTAATTAATTAATAATTTTCGGTTGTCTGGAATATTTAAAACGCAACAAAGTTTGATCCACAGTTGTTTTTTTCTAACTTTCCCGCTTCAAAAACGATCGTCCGTTTGAAATTTAGTTCCAGTAAGAAAAGTTTGTAAATCATTACCGCAGACAACTCCAGTGTGACAGCTAGTACGCCACCGTATAATGCTGAGTTCGTTGACAGGTCACCTTCCAGCTTAGACTAACTCGCAACATGGTATCCTATGTTTCCTGGGCGTGCTCCTTTACTACTGAAGTTTATAGGTCATGTAAACCATTCCCAAATTTAACAAAAACTGATGGTTAATGACGGCAGCGCCATAATAAAGTAGATTTTTGACCATGCCCATTATCTGATACCTGGTCCTTTCTCTGATTGTACCAGCCAACTTATCTACTAAATTTTTTACGCCAGTCAATAGATAGATGTCATGTTTAGTCACTGAAACGGTGTGAGCTCTTCTCAAAGGTTATGTACTTTTAGAATCTTTTTACGCGAACATTCACTTGAAGTAGAATGCGTTGGTTGACGAGAAATTTAAGCGTTCATCCACACTTGATGAAACATGCAATTTCTATAGCTGAATCTCTATCAATGTCGTGGTGTTCATTCGATAGCCTAGAAGTGGTAAAAACTACACAGAACTAACATGACGACTTGTGCCCGACCAACGTCACAACCACCGTCAAAAACAGTTAGGTGGCTTCGACTTGTTTGCTCACTCTCTTCCTTCTCCACCTAACGAGTGAATTTCTTTATAATAACACGGATGCGAGTGTTTCTCTGATGACTCATTTCATCGATGCTGCCTCATCACCCGATACTCTTATCCACATGGACTAATAATTGCATACATAACCATGCTCATTGTTAGAATTAGTGCAACACATTTTGTGGCACGTATGCGCGACGTTAAATCCAGTGATTTGAAACAATCATAATCTAAGGTCAATTGATCACATTGTTTCATTAGCCCTCAAATTAAACTAACAATACTCCCACAACACGTTTCAAAACTTGCACTTTCATTCACAATTCTCCGAAGAAACAGCCGGTCAACTGGCAAAGTGAAAAACGTCTAGGGGCCATCACCTCTTAATTGCACCCAATGTTTAAAACCACAGCGAGTGTGATATACTATTGGTAAGAGAGATTCGAAGAACATCCAAATATTGTTTCTCTGGTGCAGTCAGCTCACGAAAACAGACACTAGATCGTTATTTCCATTGCAGAAAAACAGGCATCAAGTAATGGATGAGGGATATCGGGTCAATACTGCATAACAAAGAGTGGAATTTATAGGTAATAAAAACCGAGGACGCTATTATAATGACGACAACAGCTTTCACCGCACGTTCTAAACATATAGTCTCTAATGAAATGACCGGATAGAGAAACGTTTTGGTCATAGTAGGTATTCTTATCAAAATCTGCTCCACTGATTTATTTGTCTAATATGTTCACGTTTTAAGACTAGCGTAAACTTTAATACACTGCGTATCTGCCGTTAGATTCTTGAACAGAGTTTTGTAGCGCTTCTTTGTCTTCACACTTTTCAACAGGGTTCGCAAGGACCACAGGAAGCTTATGAGCGGCATACTGTGCGGGTGCCATCCTTGGCCTGCGCTTTGAGAGATAAACACGTATCAGTAAACGCTACACTCTGTCTATCATAATTTGCGACGTAGAACTATACTGATTGTAGCCTAACGAAATTTTGGACACCAAGATTGAAGCAACACGTATAGCGCTGCTGGAAAACCTTTGGTTAAATAGAAAAGCTGCTACATTTTTCAGACAACCGTTGCATTTTTATCTACTCTGTGTATTGCACGAATCCTCGAGTAATGAATGAAAACACAACGTAATCAGCCTTGCCATGTGCTATTTTAAAAATGACAAAATATCTGAGAAATGGGAGTAAAGACTAAGGAGTTTCGGTGCTAGCAGTGTTTTAATCATTCTGAGAACCGTGAAGCTCATAGAAATGCTTGAGTCAGTGATTCTGGTAAGATAGCTAGGCATTCTTCAAGATACGTACAAGAACCAATAAGATCTTAACTAGCCATGAAGTTTTGAGCTTATTTCGATCAATGTAGTACGAAAGTAGTTACCGCATTCCCGTTTATTTCATATCCGTTTCACAGAGGAAGAAACGCGAACCCCCTGTCATGGATGACGAGACATTCTACAAGGCATTTCAACTGGAACAAAATCACTCTCCGTCAGATATCGCTCCTGAAGTCTTTGAACAGATTATTAGGGAAGACGCGGCGAAAATGAAATATGTGTCGGTGAGTCACTGAACATTTCTTGGCCTCAACTCATTCAACGTTGAAATAATTCTCAATAATTGCAAGTTTTTATTCAATATCCAGGTACAAGTGTCAAGGTCCAGTGAGGTCAAACGCATGAGGATTCCCACTTCCAAATGATGTCACTTTAAATGTGATCAAAGGTACTCGTTTTGGGGAACCGTCCAGGCAACAACGTTTGTCCCTTTTGAGGATATTGACCTAATTTACGATACGTCACAAGAAACGGCCTTGTATACTGCAAGCCACAAACCTATAGATAGTCAGAGTTAACAAAATTTCGGTTGTTCTCCAAAGCACACAGATGGATTGAGCGAAATCTGGAGTAGAGAGCTGGTGGTCCTACATATGAGCTAGCTAAAAAATCCTAATAAATAGGGTTGTGTTCGGCAAGATCAAACAGCAAAATATTTGGAATGTCACGGTGAAACCTTGCAGCGCAGCATTTCTGAAATTCATACATCCACAGCATTAGTGTACTTTAAAAGCTGAGAGTTGACAATATTGCAAAAGTAAAAATGAAAATGAAGTATCCTAGGGCTTCCATAATTTTGTATACACCGCTACAAAGAGTAACCCTGGGAAATTCACCATGTAACGTCTTGCGTGTAAACAAGCATACTGAGTAAGTTTTACGGAGTATGATTTGTTACTGCTATATAAGATCTAAGGCTGAGAATTCCCGCTGGCCCTTGACGATTAGGTCTTTTTTGTTAAAGAGATGATGTGAGTTGTGTCCGCTTTGGAACGATTAGGTCGTTTTTGTTAAAGAGATGATGTGAGTTGTGTCCGCTTTGGAGACCACCAAGTTACCGAAAACCTAACAAAGAATCTCAAACTGGACGTGGGGTCCACGTGAAAACAAAACTGTTCGCTGTTCAATTTTTCACTCGCTTTATCGAGTATGAACGTTTTAAAGTTTTAGTGACTTTTGGAAAACAATAGGTAGACCCACCATAGAGCACTGTTTGGTTTTCAACACAACTGTTCTGAACCTTTCGGTTGGGTTTTGAGGCTGAAGAATTGACCACTGGGATATACGTGAACTGGCAGACAACGTAAGTGGTTCTAAAACAAGAAATCCTCAGTCTTCTCACAGCTTGGTATATTCAATTGCGAACCTTCTCCTCTGTCAAGTCCCCCAAGTGCGCAAAAAAGAGGAGCCCACAGTTTCAGTGTATACAATTCTGCTACCGGCAACCGACGGCGACTAAAACGGGATGTTGCAAATAATAATTCACTGCTCCCTGTAACAAATATAAAATCGATATCAAAGTTATGACAAAAAGTTAGTTGTCACATTTCCACACCCACTGCACAAAACTGGCAGACATACAAAACCCAATATGAGATCACTTGGGAACTGAATTGAGTTTACACATTCGGGCTTCTTACGCGGTGTGCTGTGGGATCGTAACTTTCGTGCAGCACTGCCATCCTGGATGAATGATGACGACTTATAAAAGGTGTTTGATGTATTCCGCTCAAATTATCTTTGTGAAATCCTCATAATTATTTCAAAAAACTGCGAGAAGATTGGATGAACAATGAATATATGAGCAAAGGTCCATTTGCTTGTGCTTACCACTCCAAGTATTTCGCATTACTACCGCACCTTATGAAGTGGAGAATTTTTACACACGGCTTTTTCACTGTCGTTCTGATTTCCCACTGCAGAAATTCACCAACCTGTTTGAAAAAACCCTGAACAAGCCAACTTCTAGCGAAGAACCAACAATAATATTGTGAGTTTATTCACTTAAATCAACGATTTTTTATGTGGCTTTGTTTAGTTACACATCAATTTATAATCCATCTCATTAAGCTAGCCATATCTAATTTCCGGTGCTAATTTCAGTTCAACATTTTAATTAGTTGTCTCCATCTTTGCGTTTGCCAAGTCTGCCTTCCTCTTTTCACCCCGCGTACAGCTATACTAAATGATAGCTACACCTGTTGCCAATATTTTTGGGATCAGGGACCTAAATCCCATAATTCCTTATTGTTTCCTGCCGAGCTCACTCTGCGGTGAAGTTTGCAAGTTGTGTGCACAAGTCTTGAGAATACCAGACAGAAGATTTACAAGTTACATACAGCGAAACGTACTTATTAGTTTATTGAAGCATTATATAATATTTCCCAGCCTCTACAGAAGATTTATTCTACTCTCAGAACAAACGTAAACCAAAGGGTTTCTCGTTAGGTAGCCCTGGAAGAGCAGTGGACGAGTTATTGAATTACGCGCTGACCGATATGTTCGTACAACCTGTGATCTTGGCATGTTTGTATAGTGTTCTAACTAGTTGTTTGCTAAGAGGCACGGGGACTGAGTAACCAAACTGAATGAACCGCCTGATTGATCCACACATAAACCAAAGGCTTTGAATGGCTTATACTGCCTTGGAAAATCGAATGAGTCCACCCTTTTGTTTTTTTACTTTCTAATTGAAAATGCACACCTACTTTTTCTATGTTGAATCCTAACTGGTTTCTTAGGATATTTCACTTATTATCCACGGGTACAGTGAAGCTTGATACTGTTATTTCCAAGGGTCTCAGCACATACTTGTTTATATTCAGACGCATAATAGGGCAAGGATCGTTATTAAAATAGCCGTGTGCTCACTAAATGTTTCAACAGCCTCTACTAATTAAGTGGCTCTTTGTAATCTACAAAACTGAGAGTCGATTCATTAGTTCTACTGTTTTTTTTAATTTCTGACAGCAACGAAACACTGTGGTAAACAAATCGGTTCATCTTGATCCTAAACGATCTTCCCAAGACATCAGCACTTCACGTAAACGATAAATCTTACAGTTTCAATGAGACTGACTTGAGAGTCACGTGGGCTTAAGCAAGTGATATGAACATTAGGCGGTGCTTGTTTGCAACTAAACCGAATCCAACCAGATGCACACAAAGGTAGCACAACTCACGCAGCCGTCATGTGAGGATCAATGTGAAACCGGCCCTATAATGACTGCACGGGATCGCAATTTGAGTAGCCCAGTTGATGGACAATCTCTTCTGCATCAGAGCTTAGCATTCTGTTGCACAGCAGACCAATAACACTGAAATACTCCACCAAACGTAACTTCAAATAATGGCTACAATTCCCACAGTGAGACTTTTTATTTGTAAGGGTTTGTTTGGAATCCCATGTAAGCTATCTTTGGTTCGCACTAAAACCCCGCAAGTTCTTCATTGTGTCTTTTGTAGTTTAGTGTGCTTTATTAAAAGTTCTGGTAACATAACATTGTCAATAATTTTTGATGTGGCTCTTGCTCCAATGCTGTTTCGAACTCTTCATCATTTAAAAAGTTCATAAAAACTATGTACGACCTGCATGACCCCAAACCAAGTTGTTGGTCCAACCATGCTTTCTACCATATCTTCATTCGCAAAGGCTGGAATGAAAAGGGATTGAAGTTAGTAAGTAACGTATGAAACCGAAAAGTAAGGGGGTTGCTTGAATAGCACTTAGATGAAGTGGTCTAAATAAACAAAAATTTGGAAGTGGATGTCACTAATTTGGATGAGCATCTGGTAAGATTTGGTCAAAAGATGAGAAAACGGTATACTTGTCTCAGTTTCTGTAGAAGGTGCCTTCACAACGCGCCGACTAGTGTTACGAAATTTTGTTTTTGGGACCCATGTAAACTTTGTAGTCATTAACTGACTTATTCTTAATTGGATAGAGTTCAAAAATCAATTAGACCATTTTGAAACCTTAGATTTTATGATATGATGAGAAACATAAAAAAAATTTAGAGCATTTGTAAATTCAAACAACATACTGAGTACGTGCATGCATATATTCCGTGCTGGATGGTCAGGACCAAATTAGCAGTGACTGGAAAACAGATTTCATATAGTATCTCCACAAGTAAGAAGAAAATTCATGTGAGATGGGCCTGGTTTCCCAGTAAATTAATGGTTACAAAATTCATTCATTCCCTCAAGTCTCCCTTGGATTACAAGAAGGGCCCTTATCGACCAATTCTTGCTCACCAGAAAAACTTCAGGATGAGTGAGTTCCTATGAATGGAACAATGGATGGTGAGATATGTGGCCAAAAGATATCTACAGGTCAATGACTGTAGTCAAGTGAATTCTTGACCTGTTATCTTATGATATCCGTCTCCCTTCGCTTAAGCGTTACTCAATTTAAGCAACCAAAACGCAAGCTAGCGGGGAAAAACTAAAACCATTTCTATAAATAGCTCGCTGTGCTGCTGTAAGCTGATTAACTAGTCCTTAACTTGTCAATAATCACTGTCCATAAAATGGAAACCACAAGCTGGATAACAGTTTTCTTCAGCTAAATGGCTGAAAAGTTTCAATGACATGACCTGAAGATTACTGAAGTCGCTGTTGATGATCAGGTAAGAAAAACTATGTGAATATTCAAGAAGAATGTTGTCTGTCAGAGTTGTCGCTGAGTATTTTTTTAATTAGTCTACTACTCAGGTGAACCAACTTTTTATTCTTCTGTTGTTTCATTAAACATCGAATCACAAGACTGGGTTATTCGACTTATGTGGCAGATGTACTCATTATTACATTTTTCTACAAAGATACATTGAAAACGAATAATGATGTATAGCACGCACACGGCATGGGCTCCGTGTTCAAAGTAAGCCAACGTGTCATTGAGGAGATGTCCAAAACACAACTGATGGGACTTATGGATTAGACATGAATACTCGCAGATCAATAATGGCTCTTGAGCAACGTTCACCAGAAAACTGTGTACACGAACACCCAGATGAAGACAAATTAAGTACCTCTATGGATAACAGAAAAATCTCAGAAATGAAAAAATCGGAACCGAATGAGATCTATGGCGCTGGATACTGGACTGGAGGGTGTTCAAGAAGAAGGCCTGCTAGTTTCTCAGAGAAAGTGATGTACCACTGTGGCTTTGAAATCACGTAAGATACTTTTCACTTAAAGTGAGATGCTGTCGTGGAACTCCATCCACCCTCCAAGCAGTTTACTTGGACATACTCTGCGATAGAAATTATGACCGCCAGCGTACTTAAGCCAAGCACATTCCTAATACATTGCACACCTAACTAGTGGGCATGGAAAATTTATTCGAAATATCAGACTACTGTATGCCTTTGTTTAAACTCGCAGAGCGAGGGTACTGGGACCAGTGAGAGAGAATGAGAATTTTCCACCCAGCCTTACTACATTACGCGACAGGAAGATTATCGAAGTGTCTATGATTTTCAACCTAATCAAATGTTCACTTTAGCGGTATGCCTAAAATCTGAGTAATGAATTACTGTCCTTCTTGACTGAATATGCCTTCTCCCTAACACCGTCGCAAATATCTAAGATCTGGACCCTTACATAATTTGTTCGTTGTTTTTTACCATAAAGCAACCATAGTATTAGGTAGTACACGTATGCAGCTGCATCACTTTTGGCAAACTTAACAAATTTAGTCGCATCCTGCCTTGAATCTAAATCCTCCCCTCGATCCAATATTCCACTACCAGATCCTCAAGCAAAAGTTCGTAATCGATTGCGCGTTATTTCCTACGCAGCCGTTTGCTTATTAACTTTCTTTATCTTGTTAGTCCTCGGGTGGGAGTTCCTTCGACTACACAACAGCAGGCACAAGCGGTGGAGCGTTCCGTCGAAGTTACCGCCCCGAAAATTTCACTTTCAGATCAAAGAGCAACAGAGAGTCCTTCACCACGAGTTCATATACTTAGCAGCCAAATGGATGCGTACTGGACCGGAAAAATTACAGAGTATCTCAATCGATACTACAATGCTCAGGGATGCTTCGCTTCTGTCTTCCCCATTCTACTCAAGTTAGAAAGAAGGCTAGGCCCAGGATGGCGGTTAGATCAAATTGATGACCCAATGTTTGTTTCCGAAAAAGCGCTGCCAAATTCCACAATAAATTTCAAATTTCCGCCAAGCCCCAGAAGCTACACGATCTGGAGACAACGCGAGCCGGATTTTTAACCAATGGAGTATTGAAACCTGTGTTTTCCAGCACAAAACAACCAGTTTGACCAGAAGCATATTAATTTACCGCATGACAGAGTATTGTATTAGATTTTCCTTCTAAAATTTCATTCGTGCGCAATAACATGGTAGCCAAAGAAGCAATACACATGTGTCAACTCTAAAGCCTTCCTGAAAGTCTGATTTTGGGCAGGCCTCACTGGCCTGAGAAATTCTAGAAAGGTATCCCTACTTTTCAGACCAACATACGCTACAGCAATGAAACCAGGTTGCCTCTACGACAAGAAACCATGTAGGACATATTTTGCTGACTTTTTCGAAGAAGTCATTTCTACCGACAGACAGTCAGATGTTCTAGTGAGACGGGACATTTTATCAATCGGGTAATCGGACTGATGTCTAAGACAGTATAAAATTTGGCTTTAAAGGAGCTTGGCTTCCTGCTCACCATATGCGTACCATCGCCAACGTGTGCAGCTCGTCACCAATCCGCTTTCCAAACTTGTCATCCACGCCGTCCTAAACATACAAAAATGAGTTCTGGTCACTAGTTTTAACATGTATCATGTTTAGGTATTCGGTTGCAACATTCTATCCTACGGATGATTCCTAAAGTCTTCAAGCTGTCAACTGTCCCCGGTCTGTAAGGGCTCGTCCTCTCGCCTGTATGCGGGGACAAATGGCATATACGAGCTCTGGTTCAGAAGACCTGTTTCTGCACCACAATACACTCATCGGCTAAACGGGGGCTTTTCCGTCCTTGTATACCCAGATTTTGACTTCGTCCATGCTGTTATTGACTGCTGTCCTTGAATTCGCTACTCGGTTCACAAATCACATAGTTTTGATAATGTTGCTTTGTAGATCAGTCGATACAAAATACCGACTGACCCAGCCTAATGCCGCTCCAATGCTTTCAAAGCGGTAAATTCGTCAGTGCAGTTAGCTCAGCTGTACTCTATGATAATACTCATCAATCAGTACTAAGTAAATAACTGACCGGCACAGTCCTCACCACAATCAAATCTTCCTTGCTTATGTCCCAGTAGCCATCGCATCCTGCCTGAGGGTCGGTTTCAGGGAATGAACAGAGTCAAGCTGCTGCTAACAAATGCGAATACCCATGACTTGAAAATTGAGAGCACTTATTGAGAGAAGTGGAGTGGTGATCGGGTGTGTACCTTGTGATTGCAAAACGTATTTTCAATTCTTTTCTATCTCAGGCAACCGAAGATCAGTATGATTTAGCCTTCCGATGGGAAGAAGCGTTTAAGACCTTTTCGGGATGGAGGTGTTGATATCGGGTCTTCAGTGGAGCAAGCATCTACTTCATTGTGGGACCGAAAAGCTTCATCCATTAGGTGGTTTTGTGTCACAACCTGATGCAAGCCACGGTTAACGTCCATGATGTTTGCTCAGGCCTCTGCACAACAATGCTGGCACCGCTCTACGCTTTCTTCTACTTCCTGATATGTGCTGTAAGGCAGAGTGTGATTCAGGAAGCCTACGAGTAAGAGGCGCGGAGATCACGGGATGTTCGCAGACTCTAGCTATTTCCCTAAGTCAGCATCAGCAGCACCATCCACCAGTTCGAAGCAAACTTTTTTATTCAACACAACCGAGTGAATGTTCTCGAGCACACGAATAAAGGAGTACTTTGGCAGGCCAACGTTACTGTTTGGTAGAGTGTAAAGCAAATGCCTGAAAGCAAATGTTCTGAACCGCTCTTCTACTACTCATTTCTGCACCGGGATATAGTTACACTACTGCATCGTTTTTCCACCGACTGATTTCCATGCCAGTACATGGTTTTTCGGCTGATGAAAGCACATAGTGGTTCCAGTGAACACCATTCACTAGATGTTCACCGTTTTCCTAGTGATGGCCAAAGCAAAAGCATCAGACAGTGTGACGCATAATGTCCTCGTTTAATCCACTACAGACATTTCGATCTCCGGCTATCACAAAGACGTCAAATGCAAGCAACCTGAATGTGATTGAAATATGCTAACTTAGTTGAATTCCTTGGTGGCAGTCCTGTGGGCTAGAATGATATGAAGTCGTGACATTATATATCCATCCTCTTTTCTAGTATGCTAGCTGAAAGTGTTGGTTTTCACTCCAAAGCTCTACCTCTCACATATTTGATAAATATCACCACAGCAAACACGCGGAACAATGACCAGGTTATGTTGCTGGACATCCACTTCCATCTTCCTACACTACCCGTAGTAGTTCACCCTGGAGAAGGCAACAGGTAAGAGTTCCTAGGCAGAAGCTTCAAAGCGGCGCGTTTATGGTGTGGTATTTTCAATAAAAAAATCAGAAATCTACGGATCAATACAAGGCTGACACTGAATGATTTATACACACCCTTACATCCTTGAGCATAAAAATATATAAAATACACATACTTTACAGCGAAACTTCATTATACTGACAAACATAAAGGAAAGCATTGAGAAAATCACATTCTGCAAACGCGTGGTAGTTTGCAAGCCAGACGGACTACCGAGTTGTCTTTCAACAACATCCTGCCTGCTTAGTCAACTGAGCGAATACCGATATCTTCTCTGATACTGATCCTCTTCATTCCGTTTTTATTTTACCGGGGAGCTCATGGAGAGCTTCAACAGAAACAGAGCTGGATGCTTTCCTACTCCAGTTTGCGCGTCTGCATTCAAGCGGTCGTGCTTGTGCACCGGTCTCCGTAAAGTGAGATGACCTTAGTAATCGACTACAGAGTAGTGTGCGTTCAGCTCTTCAACTTGTCTGGTGTTATGCACCAGCCAAATTGTATTGAACTAGTGGCCCACTGCTTATTATCTCATTGTTAAGCGCACCGCACAAAATGGTGCAAGATGAGACGTATAAGCTTGCCAGCCTTGGCTGTGTCGTAAATCATTTAGGTTATCCACTTAAATCATACTTTTGCAACTTGCTTGTCGGTAGCTAGCTTCAGATTGCAAGTAAAAGAAGTTACTAATAAAATAGCGGCCAACCTACTATTGTGCAATAATGTATGAATACGGAACACTGGAGCAAGCATTCAAGAGTGATAAACAAAGCGACGATGTTTGTTCTGTAACCCGTCTGGCGCTTGAGCAAAAACGAGTGAGCAACACGTGCACCTAATAAATTCCTTCATATCCTCTATTTCGGGAAACTGTTCCAAGGAGTTTTCAGTGAAGGAATCCGTGTTTGTTCTGCTACAACTCCTGTCTTATTGAACTGCCGCATAAACTGTTATCTAGAGTGAGGAAAATCCGAGACAGAACAAAGCCTTGTTTCATCGAATCATAAAAGATTCCCATACGTTGCTTTCCCATTTTATTGAACTTTGGTCCAGCATACACCTTATCTTTGAGGCATCATCAAATGAAATAAGGTTGGAATACGGTTGAAAAGTCGCCGGATAACTCAATGACAAATCTGTGAGTGCTTTTTATTCTTCCATCTGAAAGACGTCAGAATTCAATTCATAACTCGACTGAAATTGATTCCTGTCGAATTTCATGGTCTGCACAAACCGCGTATGCACATGAAATAAATCAAATGGAGGCCAGGCTAGTTTAAGCCTAATGTCAATTGAGGGAGGGCTGACTTTTTTCGATGGAAAGCAGCAGCATATGGACACGATTTAGCGGCGGCTAATATTGTCAATCTTAGGGCCTCTCAAGCTTAAGGTATTCATAATTCAACTTCATATGAAATGCGGTCATTTCACTCAACTGTTCATACGTTCACCTAGCTGACTACTCCGTTTATCATCACACCTGTTTCCGCAAGTTGTAATAAACCACATGATTTCACAACATTAAACGTCTCATTATAGACTCATTTCAAGTCGCCGCACACGATGTTTGCGTATTTCTACTAACTGCTTTCTTAAGAATTGAGTGGATGATTAACGGATACGTCGTGCAACGCGGTTTTTAGGATCCTGAGCTCATGCCATTCACAAGAGCCGATTTCTTCTAAGGATGTTCACACAACGACCTCTAAGGAAATTCCGCATGTCTATCGGTTTATGTAAGCCGCATAAACACGATCTGCTGTGCTCGGTTTTACTATTTTTTCGTTGTCAGTTTACCCAGATTGGTTTCTCTGTTCCAGCCACTTCAAAGAACCGAAAATCCTCTGGAGTCATGGGAGAAACTTTACAATCGACAATTATGTCTCCAACGTTCAGTAAACAGGCACCAGAAGAGTGCAGAATTTACCCCATCAGCTTACTCCTGACAGATGACACCCAAAGGTTAATTTCTTATGTACAATATATTACGACTCATTTGAGGTCATCAGGAGATTGGTTTTTGAATGTTTGATGACTCATCACTAAAGGAAGATTCTTTTCCACTCACCGGTTGTAAAGTGACAGTGCTTGAATGTATTCATATGGTTATTAAATGTGCGTTTGAAGTAATGTCTGTCTTTTTGGAAACATTGTTTATTTGTGGTCATTCTGCGGCAATAAGCAGCCAGTGGAAGATCATATTGAGGTTTACTCATTGAAGAGGATATGCTGTATTCATTTGTTGATAAAAGTCGAATCACTGTCAAACCAGGAGAAAGAATATGGGTTTGTGGCAGACAAATATCTTATCCTGCTGCAGGAGGATGGAGTACAAACAGAGGTTGCAAAATGGTCTCTCATTAAAGAAGAAACACTTCGACAGACCACAGCCATAGCATAAAACGTGCATGGGTTTTGATATAAATCATAACCAGGCCCGTTTGATTGCACTTTCACGTACGTAGCGCCGCATGCGGATTAACCCTTCAGAACATGTGGGTTTGCAGATATTATTTGAGCAAGCTTGGTAGCATTATCAGAGGCAAATTTCATCGACCACACTGCGCGTTCCAAAGCGGGAGGACTGGGGTCGACTTCATCCTGGCTAACGATCAGTCACAAGTAGAGTGTAAATGAATGAAGCCTCTTTGCAGAATGTTTTTTGAATTCGATTGAGGGCTTTAACGACAAAAAATTTAGAAAAAAATGTTGGTACTGGACAATTTCCTGTGTTCGGATAAGGCTGTTACACTCTGGAAATTCTATTACGCAGAAATGAAATTCCGTTATCCACTTTTCTCCACTGTGCAACAAAAAACAGCCCAAGTATGTTTAAGTCACCCATGCCCGCTGGGGAGGGTAAGAAATGCCAGCTATTTAAACGCATCCACCGCTTCTTCGTAAGAAGCTGGGTCTTCCATTTGATCCACAAAGTACCATCTAAACAAATCTAATCGATCCAGTATCAAGCTGTAACAGTGGTCGGGGACTTTGTTGTTATAACGTAGGGTCCTGTCACTGGCGGGTACAAATGAACGCGGAGCCTAGCGGATCCTGACTCGCGACACACTTAAGGCGATCATACCCATACCCAACTGGGGAATTCATATTTGACTCAATTGATAGCGCCTCTAATAAATCCGACAGGTGACATAAAACTAGTTTCCTAGCACTCGGCTAACTAGCATTTGTATTCTATCCTGTCTGCCTACTCTGCTTACAGTAGACAGCATAGCACTTAGAACTTCAGTTCAAAACGAATAAACGCTGGTGTTTAGGTGAAGCATCAGTAGGATGTGCTACGCGGGTGCAGTAAAAAACTATACCTTCACGTGAGTTATCCATTTAAGGAATACACACGTTACAGATGATTTTGAAGGTATTGTAGTTCACACTGTACTAAATCAGCTCAGACTACGCTAGCATGCCTTCAAAACACACGGTTCTGCGGTGCATCAGCTGGGAATAAACCGTTGTTCCGCACTTCATTATGGCGTGAGGTGACTGCTCGGGATTATCTGGTTTACAGTGCACAAGATGCATCCTGACCTATTCGGATTGGGCTAAATGAACAATCCACGGACATGAAAGTCACTAATGGATACAAGGCGGGACAGTTGCGTAGAAATGGCCTGTTTACAGAAGTTTTGAAGCTAAAGAAATATGAGCCTCCCAAAATGACGGTCTATTTTGGATTGCGGTTCAGGTAGCAAAGTAGCCTCGACTTGCTCAAACCCTTCCATTTTCCGTGCTATGTTACGAGTATTTCAGGCATTGAGCAGTGACACTTACACCGTGCTGTATGCTAAAAAACAGACATAGACAAGAGCTTCGACTCGCTTCCGGGAAATTATACTTTATGAAGCAAACCGCTAGAGTTTTACTTATCTATAAAAATTCTTTTTCACACCGTTCTGGACTCATGTTGTTTTTTTGGATCCACTTCACCGTCATTGGATCTGCACCCACTTGGTTCTTTATTTGCTTTCATCAGTCAACCGATGGTTCTTCATCGTTCTCCTATTGCCAATCAGCATCGATGATCAAAACAAATGAACTTATCTAACCGGTTGACACTGACATGCATTGACCTTCACTTGTAAGCCACGAAATACCCCGAAAATCGGACAGAAGAATTAAAACAGAATTCAACCCTTTGTTGGCTTATTGTACCACCTTTTTGTGTGATGCTGTTACCACCGAGTCTGCATCACTTCTTCCCTCTGGAGGCCATGCTCTGGAATGTGTAGCAGATAATTTCCAAGCTAAGAAAGTTTTTAATATCGGTGAGCCCCTACGGCATGTGTGCATCAACTAATGCAGTCTACAACAATCGATGGTCGCATACCATTCTATCAACTCAGGTTAGTCCATCCTATTCCACTAAGATGTATTGCCCACGTGAGTGAACGATTATTCGTTCATGGCTGATTCGTTAAGCTAGTTGCTTGCACTCGGTTTTCGTTGCGAGCATACGAGGCCTGAAATTCGGATAAATGAGAGACCTAACTTGTGATCACACACACCACATTCACATGCTTGCTGGCATGAGTAGCTGAGACTACTTCAGAAAGTAAATTGTGTACGCTCAGTTCATTGTTGAACCTGACACGGGATGCCTAAATCAACATCAAAAACACTGAAGGTTCCCAAACCCAGTAAACCAACGTCCAAGACTTCAAGCAAATCATCCACGAAGTCGCCAAAAGTTACTAGGAAAACCAAGCCGGATAAAGTTGTCAGTGGGGCGGAAAATCCTGCAATTACAAACACCGTGTTCGAGGACACGCTAAGACAGGAGAATCTAAGCCGAGAATTTATTCGAGTAAGTTTGACCGCTTCTTCACTTGTGAACATGTCAAATTTAGACAGCACGAAACCGATGCTAAATTCCATCTCATTCCATCTCATTCCATGCACATAAAATTTCCGTGCTCAATCCCGTATCAACGAGTGTGGATGCTTTCTGATTTCGAGTATTTGGAAGGCCATCACAACCGAACCTTTTGACTAACAGCTTTCCGGTACCTTTTTCCAGATAGGGCTGTCGTGTTTACCTAAAAAAACACAACAGCCAAGGGAACCAGAGCTCATCATATACTTGCTATCTATATAAAGCCCAATTGCTTCACGTGTAAATTATGTGAAATTTCACTAGATGTTCATTGCGATCGCATGAAAACATTCCACGACAGTATAGTGCTGGTTTGACATACGCGCGGAAACAAATTAGAAAGGTAATAGTTTATTTTGAACTGGCACTGAGTAATCGATTCCTAACATTGTATTTGATAAGCCTTGTGTGCCACAAAGGCGCGATAGATTTCCTGGGACTATGCCAGACAAACAATTAGATTGCAAAATAAGTCACAGCTGTTAAGTAGCGCTCTATTGTTTAGGGCTCAGTAATCTGTAGAGACCATGATTTTCTGTATTTCCGGTGTACTATGGCCATCTAGCTTCTATGAAGGGCACCCAAAAATTTAAGAACCTGTTTGCCATTAGCAAGACAGTCGGTCATGGAACGAAGCCACTGCTAAAACTTCACGAATGATGCAAACCCGTATTTGTTTAGGTCTCCCTGCGGCTTCAGTAATTTCTCAATCCTCCGGTAACCGAAAAAACCTAATTGGAAGATGATCAGTTTAACCATGACCGAGGTTCTTGTTATTTCGAACGCCTTTTTAGAGTTTAATGCGAACAAACTGCGCCGTAAGCTCAAAAAAATCTTTCTTTGTTTAATATATCAGTGCAAGTATAGCAGGCCTTGCGCTTAACTAAAAATCAGATGTTTCTAAATTCTATGTCTACGTGTAAACTAGAAAAACAGGAGACAAAAGAACATTTTATCATATTTTGTCTGCATACGTTTTGGTCCCGCTTACTACCGCGGAGAAATATCTCAAGAATACTCAAGGTTTCTTGCTAATTACTGTTCAAGTTTGAACCAACTTTATTGCCGCTGGGTGTATATAGTAGGGTTTGGCGGCCTTGCGTGTGGGAATCTATGGTCTGGTTTTCAGAATTTGCCTTAAAGTTATTCATTTGATAAAGTCAGGATAGTCAAAAATTAAAACAGATTTATCTCAGCGATTTGGGACGCACTCACATGTGTTAGCTAAAAGGATTAACCAAATGGCAATTTTATGATAATATCGTTTTACAGGTGTGTTGGTCTGTTTTAATCGCAGTTTAAAAGATGCCTTTTTGTTTGCCCAGAAAGTCAAAAAATAATTAATCTTCAAACGACAAATCATTTGTCTAGCCAGTCTTATTTCCCAGCCTCACATCCATGGATAGCATTGTGCAGAGGACTATCTAAAATTGCTTCACTGTCCTATGTCACCATGATCAGGGCACAGGACGAGTATACGGACTATCACGAACAGAAGACCCTATACTGAGTAGACAAAGTAACTTTGTTAATGTGGTCTAAATTTATGCTGATTAAAAGTCAGAATGCTTAAAAAGGTCCTCTGGAGAATTCATATTGTGTAAATTACGCTTTTTTACTTAACGAATGGAGTTTCTCTCGTTCAGGTCTCCTTATTGTTCTCTCCTTCAATAAAAACGATTTCTCTATGGGAGAAAACAATTGGTTGGATACTCAATAAAATGGGGCAAGCCTAGTCAAACTATGGTTCTCCTGGAACCGACGTGACCCCTTGAAATAGGATGAGTCCGTGGAACCCAGTCAAAATGATTCATCTTGAGAGTCTCCATTAGGGCACCAGTGAGTTGAGTTTTTACCATAATAGTTATCGAGTTAGTTGGCTTGGTTCCTAGTAACTGCCACATTGATCTTTGGTTGTGACGTTTCACTCTCTAGTAAAATTTGTTTTCTGCAAATTTTTTTAAAAAATATGGAAATAACCGAGATGCTATTACGAACCAAATAGTGTTTAGATCACAAAGGCTTCAGACTGTGGTGCCATTACTACAGGATTTATTCGTGATGGTGGATTAGCGCTCTGAGCCTTCTGGTCCTCCAACTGTTAGTCGTTAGGCTGAACGTTCTGGTATCGTCGAACTTCACTGTTACATTAAAGTCAGTAATACATGAATGGTATCTTCAGGTATCCTTGTCGTGCCTTGGTACTCAGGCACACACTCAGGCACACACTTCCGAATAAGGTGGCGTTAGCTTCCACCTTGCACGTGTGCTAGCTAATTGACCGCAAACTCAGTATCCTGTGACCAAGAAACCAGTCTGAATTGTTTTCTTGTCAGCATCTCATACGCACGGTCAGGGGAAACTACTGAAGAAGCTACCCACTACCTGACTTGAGCGTAGTGCAATTAGTTTACGCCGTAACACGTGAAAACAAGACCTTGCTGAAACCACATTTCATCAAATGAATTCTTCTGTCGTCTGATTACTACACGTTGAGTATGGACTTATTCGAAGAGCAATTTGCTCCATGCTACTCAATTCAATTATGTAGAAAAAACGTCTTTCGGAACAAACGGATTTCGTTTTAATGCGCGTGTGGACAACTATTGATTCTGTTTCGTTAATCCTAAGAGTCAGTGCAAACCATCAAAGAAAGCATCTTATTTAATTAATTCTAATCGTATGGCGCTTATCTTGGTTTCACCAGTCCCTCAAGAATTTTATGCATCTTCTAAGCGACCAAAATCTTCAGTTCTTCGAGCAATTTATCTAGAGGATGAGGATCGCTCCAATTATGTGACACTTTCCTTCTGCTCGTGTGCACACCACATGACTTGATGAAAAATGCAATGTCAGTTGTGTTGATAACTCAAAAGTGGGTTCATTGGTTCAAAACCGATTGCAATCAGATAAAACCACCGGTTAGGTTTTGTGAGAATAAAACGGTGTCGTTGGTGAAATGCACTCATTTACAAACTAATTTAGCGTTGACGAAAGAATCAACTAAAGCCCTGGTCAATCACTCTGTTTTGATGCTATTCAGCCGAATGAGCCAAACAAAGTTTGTCTCATATTTCAGTTGATACAATGTCAGTAGTAGCTAGGTATATTTTCCTGATGGAACATATGAGGACTATGAAAACTGTTAGACAGTTCGCAACCGGTTTCCCACTTCTTACAGGCAACTGTCGCAAAACGTTGGTGCTACAGGTGCGTTAAATTGATTCTTAGCGAAACTTTTTTGCCCCAGATACACAACGCGATTGTATGACCGCAGTTCCTTTTCCCAGTAAATCAATTTTCGCATGTTCTTTCCAAAGTGACTTGCAAGTGAAGGTGTTTAGCCAATGGTCAACAACAGAATCTAGCATATTGTAACTTAAAACGGCTCAAGAACGAAGTCAGTATCAGTAACTGGACATTATTAGTGAAAGGATGAAGGTCTTCGCCAAGTGAACAGTTACAGACTATTGGACAGGGAAGCAAAACTCTCATATGCATTTTGTTCACAGAAGTTGAATATCCATCTTCTCCTTGAACGCGTCTTCCTGAACTTTCCTGGATATTCGTGACTGTTGCTCAAATGCAAGCAAATTCGACTCCACAAATTCCGCGATAAATCTAACTTTTCAAGAGACGCGAAGCGGATTTGCGAGAAAACATACTACCCGCATGCCCCCATCAGTAGAATCTACCGTTACACAAGGACAACATGCAATATTTAAAATTATATGAGTCAGGGACAACAGCCTGATGACAAGCGACTACAGGATGTGCACCACACAACTGAAGGCACTATGTCCCACCTAGGATCGGTCTCAACGAAGTTGTAGTAGAAAGATATAATTCTCAATCAATAACAGGAAGACTACAGGTCTGAACCATCGGAGAGACTCGTCAAAGACCTAAAAATGTTAAGTAGGTGTGGGAAAAAATATTCCTAGGGAATCCAGCGTAGTATAACACTCACAATAATGTGCTACCCTAAACATACGACCCCTCTTATTGGTTGCAACAGACTATTGCTGCTCCTATCTTTGTGCTTCTATCCGATAGGTCGGCTGGAAATAAATTTGCTAAACAGCATTGTCCACAGGGCTTTCACAGTTCTCCTTAGTCAGTGGAAGCTCCTTTCTGGATGTTTCGCGAATCGGTTCACTGAGAAACTAATAAGAGGAACAGGTAGTATTGCCGAGCGAACCTAGTATTACGAACCCATGTATATTTGGTAGCTACATTCAATTCATATATAAATCTTACACATTGTAATGGCCAAGCAAGGCGTCCTAAAAAACGATCAGCGGAAGAAAAGGTGGAAAACAACTAAAAGCATTCAATAGTTGCAGCAGTTTAATCACATTTCATATGATTCAAGCGATCAAATACTTCTAGCTCTCTTAATTGCTTCTCACTGCATTAATATGCCGTTCTGTGGAACTCGCCATAAATGTGGGTTCCGATCTACCTAAAAGCAGAAGAAAATGTGATACACTGATCGGTCCGTTATTCTGGCAGGTTATGAGATTTCAGTTTAATTGGCAGTGTCTCTGATAGATTGTAGCACGCAAGATCAGAGCCGCAACCAGTTATACGTACATCCAAATGAGTTCTTTGGTTAGCGATATCGTTCGATGTTGCCGTGCGTTCGGGTAGGATCGCAGCCCGGATCGATGGATGAAGACAATGCCGCTGTCCACTGTGAACTGAACGAACCAAATCAGACTGAATGGGACTACTGTCATATTTATTAAATGCTACAACCGATTTTTCACTAAACAATGACAAAGCAGCGTGTTTCAGCATAATTCCATGCTGCCATTCGGGAATTCAAGTACCATCTTCACCAGTGAAATCTATTTGCTCGAGAATTGTTAGAACACAATTCTCGTACACTCTGCTTTGGCAGCAGCTTTTCTGTCATTTGACTGGTT